TAGGCCTGGAGCGGCCATGCCTGTAGACCTGGAGCGGCCATGCCTGTAGGCCTCTAAATCAAAGGCAAGGCACAGACTGCAATTCGTGGAGGCATAAACCAGTCGCGGATAAAAGACCTGTCGGCAACAGCGGCATATTAGGGCTCGCTGCGTGATGCGTGTTGCGTGTATGGTGCGTGTTTTGCTTGTTGAGTGCGTGTTGCGTGTCGCGAGTGTAGCGTGTTTGGTGCCTCTATATTTCATGCATCACTCAGAAGAATGAGTGAAACTTTGTTCAAATAGCGAAGCACATTTGATCCTGTGTAGGTCTACCTGACCTTGTTTATCTAAGTTAAAGTGAGCCGTAGTGATGCCTCTGCTACACGGTCGTGCTGGGAGTCGATAGCGCATCATTCACTTTTTAGGCAACATTACTTTTTTTGTGTGTGGAGCATATATATTCCATACCATATATATAACATAGGCGACAGGCCAGCCATATACTGGATAGGCGACAGGCCTATCCAGGCCTTTTCTTCAATGCCGAAGATAATGTACTATACTATAACATAAAAGCTTTTCTGGAAACAACCTGCTTCATCTCAGCCTATCAGCCTGGTACTGCTACCCAGCACCCAAAATTTATAGCTCCGTCGTACCAGGTAATCCATTTTTATGACGAGTCCTGCCTTGACCTAAGCAATAAATGACCAGTTCTTAGTGCACGGCCTATCCTGCTCAAACGCGTCTTTGGCTACCACAGCCTGCACAGATAAATGCTCAATATTTTGATGGGCATTATTCTCTGGGATGAAAGGTATTTGTACACCTGGATAATAGTGGCGACCAGTGTTATTTTCAAATACTAACCGCCACTATTTTCCCAGCTGATAGCTTTGTGTATAGGCGCTACTGGCAACGGAAGGACCCGTTAACCATGTACACGTGGCCAGTAGCGTGATAATTTGTCGCAGTTAGCATGTAAGATTTCTACTGGCAGCCACTACTGGCCTCGTGGACAGGTATTTATTAGGCCGAGTTGATTTATAATACTCTTTGAAAGGCAGCCCGTTTACAGACGTTTACCGACGCCATTGCCCTTCAGGGGATGACGCCTTCCCCACCTTTTCGAGGCTTTTAGTCCATCCAGCGTGGAGATCCTGAGAAGAAGAAGAAGCCTTCTCGAGGTCACATATTTGATGGAACTTCAGCTCCACAATTGATGGAAGAGATGCGCAGCTCGCGGTGCGCAGCTGCAGTTTTTCTCATGCAAATAATCGAATGAATAATCCAGGGTCCGACTAATTATTCTCTACTTAAGGCTTCACAAATATTTCGCTAAGCCCTTGAAGATCCAACGGAAGTCCTTGCCCCGGTGGACCCGAATTCCGGCATCCGTGCCTAAATGAATATTGCTCTTAATACGATTTATATTAAAATATTGACTTTAATAATATTAAAAACAAAATATGATAGCAAAGATTCATATGTAATTAAAAATTGTTGGAAATTCTGCAGTCACTGATGTGCTTCCGGCGCATCCAACCTTCCCGCGAAGTCGTCGAGCTCATCAGAGCCTGCGGCTTCTTGCGACTTTTTTTACGACATTATTCTTATTCTAACTTCAATATTGGATCACGTCAGGGATCTTGATATAAGAAAGGGAAACTTGGCCATAGAATTGTTTATTGATCAAATTTGGATCTTTACATAAGATTTCAAAAGACACTGGTTTTCGCTACATGGGTGACCGGTCAATGATTGTATTTAGTGAAGGAATGAAACTTTAGACACTATAATTCCCATGGTAAATTGTAATGAAGGTTTGGGCATAAGGTTCGACATGCCTTCACAGCGCGCTTGATCACAAGCCATGTAGGAGCGATCCTCTTCCTCTCGTTCATGAAGACTCTAAATAGTCTTGTTTCGTGATAAATAAAATATTTAAATTAAAATATTCGTAGAAACTTCCTGCATGTTCTTCTCTAAAATCACTAACACTGTGATAAATTTTCGACAGTGAAATTTATCAATTTATATTAAGACAATTTAATTTATATTAAGACAATGTAGCGGTAGCGGCAGCGCCCGCTACATATTTAGGTATCGATACGAGGTTTTGCCGCTACAGCGATTCCGCTACATCTATAGATAAAGCCTTTAGATTTTACTTAATAGTATTAAATATTATTTAAAAACCAGCATGATACATACATAATATAAATTACAGAATAAAACTTTACGAAAGATTTCGGTGTAATGTTGTTTACCTTAGCCTGTTACTAGTGTCAATATGTTAGTTGTTACTTGTTAAGTTGTTACCAGTTACCACTTACAGGTATTTTTTCATTTTTCAGTTTGCTTACAGTTATTTTTACACAATTATTTTTATGTTTCACCTTCCCTACATATGGATGTCTACTTTAATCTACCAATCTCAAAAATAATCCACATGTAACAATTATAGTTATGAAAAAAGTCCTAAGCTCAGATGGTGCAAAAAACTTTTAGGTTTTTAGTCTATCCCTAATTAAGAGTAAGTAAGAATTATAGTTAAGAAAAAAGTCCTAAGCTCAGATGGTGCAAAAACTTTTTACGTTTTTAGTCTATCCCTAAGTAGGAATTATAGTTAATAAAAAAGTCCTAATAAGCTCAAAGGGTGCAATGTCTCGTAAATCTCACGCCTGCTGCAGCTCTGTAGGCCGGAGGTCGGATACACGATCTATAAGATCTCGTCATGAATGAGATCGTCGTCCGTGATCTTCATAAAAGACGTCGAGGTCTTCTTAACTGAAGAATCAGGCTGGCGATAAATTCGGTCCTTTTTGTCGGCAGCTTCTGGCAATTTTTGGATGATAGAAAACCCGGAGAGAAGATATTCAATAGAAAAATAGATCCTGCAATTTGTAGAGGAAGCACAAGAAATTTATTATATGACATATTCATTTCGATCCTCGTAAAGAGGATAGAAATGCACACGAATAAAGTAATAAGGGAGAAAAGAATAATGAATAACTGGAAAAAGTCAGCGTGGTTCTTTGTACGATCCAAACCAGTCGTTTATACGATCCAAACCAGTCGTTTGTACGATCCAAACCAGTCGTTTGTACGATCCAAACCAGTCGCTTGTACGATCCAAACCAGTCGTTTGTACGATCCAAACCAGTCGTTTGTACGATCCAAACCAGTCGTTTGTACGATCCAAACCAGTCGCTTGTACGATCCAAACCAGTCGTTTGTACGATCCAAACCAGTCGTTTGTACAATTCAAGCCAGTCATTTGTACGATCCAAATCAGTCATTTGTACGATCCAAACGAATCGTTTATACGATCCAAACCAGTCATTTGTACGATCCAAACCAGTCGCTTGTACGATCCAAACCAGTCGTTTGTACGATCCAAATCAGTCCTTTGTACGATCCAAACCAGTCGTTTGCACGATCCAAACTAGTCGTTTGTACGTGCCAGAGGCAGTTTGCTGGTCCCAAACGAGCTATTCACACGACTAAGCCAGTCGTTGCTGGGACCAAAGCAATATCAGGGAAACGCTTGTGTGTTCGCCGGAGCGCCGAAGTCTTCATAAGTTCCGCACTGAAGGAACTAAACTGGCTACAGTGTAGCGCTAATAACTGAACTTGCTGGAGCTGCTGGCCTGGCCCGTCTTGGCTGTTGCTCCATCGTATCTTGTGCCAGTTGTGTTCTTCATGAGTTGTTCTTCACAGTTGTTCTGGTCAGTTGTGTTCTTCATACGTTGTTCTTCACAGTTGTGTCTTCATATGTTGTTCTTCACAGTTGTGTTCTTCATAAGTTGTTCTTCACAGTTGTGATCTTCATGAGTTGTTCTTCACAGTTGTGTTCTTCATAAGTTGTTCTTCACAGTTGTGTTCTTCATAAGTTGTTCTTCTCAGTTGTGTTCTTCATAAGTTGTTCTTCACAGTTGTGTTCTTCATAAGTTGTTCTTCACAGTTGTGTTCTTCATAAGTTGTTCTTCACAGTTGTGTTCTTCATAAGTTGTTCTTCACAGTTGTTCTGGTCAGTTGTGTTCTTCATAAGTTGTTCTTCACAGTTGTTCTGGTCAGTTGTGTTCTTCTTAAGTTGTTCTTCACAGTTGTTCTGGTCAGTTGTGTTCTTCATAAGTTGTTCTTCTCAGTTGTTCTGGTCAGTTGCGTTCTTTATAAGTTGTTCTTCACAGTTGTTCTGGTCAGTTGTGTTCTTCATAAGTTGTTCTTCACAGTTATTCTGGGCAGTTGTGTTCTTCATAAGTGGTTCTTTACAACTGTAGATACGCTCATTTTTACTCATATCTAAAGACGCAGTTGTTCAGTTATCCCAAAAAAACAACAATTGATGCGTTCTCTCAGTTGCAGGCTTGTGTTGTCTGAAGTTGCGAGAGATGACGCGATCGCGTCTGCAGCTCAATGGAAGACCGAGGGACGTGAAATTGAATCCTAGTCTGGCCAACGCATTCGATTTCGGTCGCGCTGCTGGCAGTGATGGAAAGTTGTTTTGATATAAAAATACAATATTCCATCAACACTACCGGTCGGAAGTCAGAGAATACGGTTGGGGATAGAGATATGGCAGATTATGTTACCTTGAAGCTTGAAGTCAATTCAAAGTGACAGATTGATTCGCGACTGAACAATTTTGGAAGATATACCAGATCTCTCTCGCGCCTGAATTTTGGTTTTGAAGTTATGTTTCTCGAATACGACGCTAAGCAATTATTGCTTAGTGCAATGGTTACGACGCTAAGTCATCATTATTTAGTGCTATGGTTACGGCGCTAAGCCATCATTATTTAGTGCAATGGTTACGACGCTAAGTCATCATTATTTAGTGCTATGGTTACGACGCTAAGCCTTCATTATTTAGTGCTATGGTTAAGGCGCTAAGTCATACTGATTCATTTTGTCCAGCCAAAAAGGCAAATCAGTGCAACACGCATGAAGCATGTCACTGTACAGACAAAGCATGTCTGCATGCCCTCTAACAACGCATAGCCTACAGATTAATGCAGGAGCGGTCCGACCAGCGAGAGCGGTCCGACCAGCGAGAGCGGCCCGACCAGCGAGAGCGGCCCGACCAGCGAGAGCGGCCGGACCAGCAAGAGTTGCCCGACCAACGAGAGCAGCCCGACCAGCGAGAGTGGCCCGACCAGCGAGAGTGGCCCGACCTGCGAGAGTTGCCCGACCTGCGAGAGTGGCCCGACCAGCGATAGCGGCCCGACCAGCGAGAGCGGCCCGACCAGCAAGAACGGCCCGACCAGCGAGAGTTGCCCGACCTGCGAGAGTGGCCCGACCTGCGAGAGCGGCCCGACCTGCGAGAGTTGCCCGACCAGCAAGAGCGGTCCGGCCAGCGGCTGATAAGGCCTGACCTGTCAAGGGTAAGCTCTGAAATTCAGTCCATGCAAATTAGAACGTTTTCTCTTGCAGCCAGATCTCTGTACTTCATTTATCGTTTAAAAATTAAATTAAAGCGAAATATCTGTCAGCTAGAAAACTGTTTTGAAGTTTATTGTTACCTTCATATATACAGTAGTTACCTCAATTTTTCTTTAGCAGACTTAATTTAAATTTATCCGCAGCAGAGATGACGCGATCATTTAGAGATGTGACACAAAACATTAAAATTAATAAAACGTAGAATTCTCGTTGATTTCGCCTCCATAAATCGAATTTAATTTTGTTAGCCAAAAGATTTTGACATAAATCTCAGCGTCGGCGAAGAACCCGGGAATGCATCTAAATTAACTTAAACCTAGATGGAAAATGATTAAATATTTCACTCTTCTCGGGATTTAAACCTCAAAAAACACGGCTAGTTTTGCAAGGCGCTATGGGCGAGTTTCCTGAAGCAACAGAAAATTCGGTGCGCGCAGCCTGAGCAAACCGGCGGCGCTCCCACAGCAGATCATCAGGCCCCGGTGAGCGGGCTGATTCTGGACACATTTTTGCTGCTGTGAAGACGATCTGGGCGCCATATTGAATATTTTATACTCTACTTATCTTCATTTTAGTTCAGCATTTTCATATATCTATAAGTTATCTCTACTTTAGTTCAGCATTTTCAAATATCTAGTTATCTCTACTTTAGTTCGGCACTTTAGATGGAGATGCTGTGCTGAGACGATGTAGGTTGTCATCTTGCCTGAAGGAGAATTTCCCATTTCAATTCAATAATTTAAAATTCTGCAAATAACTTTCTCTTGCCTATTTGTTATCAACTATAATTTTTATTAAATAAGGTCATATCTTTTATCAGTGTATCGAATTTCACTAAATATTGAAACTTATGAACCTAATTATGAGTTCGGGACTTCCTAGTCCCCGGTCACGCTGATGCGCCGCCTTCGTCGTCCTCCGAGTCGTCGCTAGGATGTACCCCGCCCTCGGGTCCCGGATGTAACGTTGGACGTGTTTCCCTGATATAAAGTTTTTATTTCCAATTACGACGAAAGGGGGAAAGAAAAGCCATAATTTATGTTTTATCCCATTTTTACGTCACAGTAAATAATTATTTCTTCACTGCACGAAGAGGAGACTGAGGCCATCTCCTATGGGCAGGAATGAAACGCGTACGCGGGAATCGCGGTGCACTTTATCGTTGAACTCCCTGATGGCAACCGTGCACTCATCTGTGTGTGATGTGTCGAACACCTGCACAACACATGCTTGTGTTACTCAGAGTGTGTGATGTGTCCTTTCCACTCACCCCACCATTCAACCTACCACTCACCCTACCACTCACCCCACCACTCACCCTACAACTCACCCTACCACTCACCCTACCACTCACCCCACCAACCCCACCATTCACCCCACCACTCACCCTGCCACTCCACAATGTATTGTCCACCGCAATGATGCCTCCCCTCCTAACAAGCAGCAGGCACAGCTCGTAGTAGCCCCAATAGTTTTCCTTGTCGGCGTCGATGAAGGCGAAGTCAAAAGTTCCTGACTGTCCATCGTCCACGAGCTTCTGGAGGTTGTCCATCGCGGGGCCGAAGTGGATCTTGATCTTCTCCTTCACTCCGGCCTTCTCGAAGAATGGGTAGCCTGAGAGAGACAAAACATGAACATAATAATATAAATTAATGGCCATATTGTACAGATAATGATACATTCTCTGCACAGAGTTCTGATGTAGACGTTTGTTATGCTTAATTAATTGCGTAAAGATGACTTGCATAATGCCGTCATGCATGGTCTTATGAGAAGTCATGCATTTCCATAGGCAGCATTGCGTAAATATATATAGGTGAAGCAAAATTTTATCACAGGGCCAACACACGAATAGCAAACGTAGAACATTGCGCGTCTGCTATATTCATGATATCGCTAATACTGTAGGTCATTTGCTATGCTAGCAAACATGCGAAAAAGAAGTGCATTTCTTCCGGCATCTAAAAACCCTTTCGATCTTCCTTCGTTTAGTGAGCTCATTATGTCCGTGGATTTTGTACCGGCAGCCTCAAAAGAAAAATTCAACTCCGCGGACTTTTAAAGTTTGGTAAGGGATCTTTTTGGTCGCAGCCTTCATAGTAATGGTGACAGGAAACGTGCATATTGAAGTCGGACATAGAAGACAGGATGCTTCATTATTTACAATGAAGTAATACTCGGGCGAAAAGGCAATAGATACGGAAGGAAGTTCCTAGTTAATACAAATAGATACATAATTTACAAAGAAATGAGTCAAGGAACCGGTAATCGATCTCTGCAACAGAAAAGGCAACGAAATCCTCATCTAACTATTATTCATTTAATATTAACCATAAATTGTTCATTGAACTTTCATGCGCAAGCCAGGGTCATCAGCGCACACGACTTTCAACATGTTAGCCACAAAATTTAAATTGCGTGTTCAGTAAAAAGCAAAGGTCAAACAGGTTTAATTAAACAATAAACTGTTTGCCGTACTAAAATTAAACAATTAACAATTTGCTGTGTAGTTAAACGCCAGACAAATGTAACAAATTAGATTAAGTACATGATATAACAATGCGCATGAATGGTGAGGCATGAATAATGAATTTTTACGGTAAAATACAGGAAAGTACCGACCGTGTTTGACGTATTATTAGATCAAAATACAGGAAAATATCGACCGTGTTTGACGTATTATTAGATCAAAATACAGGAAAACATCGATCGTGTCTGACGTATTATTAAGGAAAAATAGATGAAAATATCGACCGTGTTTGACGTATTGTTAAGGCAAAATAGAGGAAAATATCGACCGTGTATAACGTATTATTAAGGCAAAATAGAGGAAAATATCGACCGTGTTTGACGTATTATTAAGGCAAAATAGAGGAAAATATCGTCCGTGTTTGACGTATTATTAAGGCAAAATAGAGGGAAATATCGACGATGTTTGACGTATTATTAAGGCAATATAGAGGAAAATATCGACCATGTTTGACGTATTATTATGGCAAAATACATGAAAATATCGACCGTGTTTGACGTATTATTATATCAAAATGCAGGAAAATATCGACCGTGTTTGACGTATTATTAAAGCAAAATAGAGGAAAATATCGACCGTGTTTAACGTATTATTAAGGCAAAATACGGGAAAATATCGAACTTATTTGACGTATTATTATGGCAAAATACAGGAAAATATCGACCGTGTTTGACGTATTATTAAAGCAAAATACGGAAAATATCGACCGTGTTTGACGTATTATTAAGGCTAAAACAGGAAAATATCGACCGTATTTGATGTATTATCAAGGCAAAATAGAGGAAAATATCGACCGTGTTTGACGTATTATTATGGCAAAATACAGGAAAATATCGACCGTGTTTGACGTATTATTGAAGCAAAATACGGGAAAATATCGACCGTGTTTGACGTATTATCTATGCAAAATAGAGGAAAATATCGACCGTGTTTGATGTATTATCTAGGCAAAATAGAGGAAAATATCGACAATGTTTGGCGTATTATTAAGACAAAATACAGGAAAATATCGACCGTGTTTGAAGTATTATTAAGGCAAAATATGGGAAAATATAGAACGTGTTTGACGTATTATCAAGGTAAAATACGGGAAAATATCGATCTTGTTTGAAGTATTATTAAGGCAAAATACGGGAAAATATCGACCGTGTTTGACGTATTATTAAGGCAAAATACGGGAAAATATCGACCGTGTTTGACGTCTTATTAAGGCAAAATACGGGAAAATATCGACCGTGTTTGACGTCTTATTAAGGCAAAATACGGGAAAATATCGACCGTGTTTGACGTATTATTAAGGCAAAATACGGGAAAATATCGACCGTGTTTGACGTATTCCTCGCTGATGTCGAAGCCGTAGACCTGTCCGTCGTCAGGCAGGGCCAGGGCCGCGGAGAGGGCGCTGCTGCCCGTGAACATGCCGATGTCCAGCACCTGCAGCACCAAACTATCTTCAGCGAGATAATTAATATTAATAATATTAGGTAAGTAATAAATAATCTTATTACTTATCTCTTCATGGAGATAAGTAATAAGATTCAGTCATTAGTATAATTAGTATATTAGTATAATAATAAACTAAAATTAGTATAATACTAAAGTATAACAATAATACTAATGTATAATACTATACTTTAGTATTATTTAGTATACTTTAGTATTTATAATACTCTAATACTAAAATTAGTATAATAATAATTGCAGCCTGGTTTAAAGCACGCAGTGGCAGTGGAAGAAGATAAGGTTTAATTGAGATATATCGGTAATCTAGTGAGATTTAGTATAATGATAGCGCGATGCCAATTGTGGGAGAAAACGTGTCTGTAATCAATGGAGGTTTTAAATCGAGATGAGGATCCGTTTTTAAGTTCCTTCAGTCGATCTCAATTATAAACGCAACTCTGATTGTTGACGGAGATCATGCGACTGATATTGACAGATGCTACATGTAATGTAATGTAATCTTAATTAAATGTAATTTAATTATTCTTGCTAAATCTTGCAAGATCTTGCAAGTTTTATTAATATTAATTAAAACATCGGAGATTAAATGTAATCTCTGCTGATGCAAATACTACACCGGTTTCTGATAGCGATATTATGCTCGTGATAACTGAGATAAGACACTTTCAATTGTTGGAGATAATACGCCCGTGATGATGGAGATAACACAGTAAAAATTGGATCACTACTCATTGCAGAGAGTGACAGAGAGCGCATTTTCTCGTGCATTAATCAGTTTTCATTGCGATTAGTACAGTGCACTGCACTCAGTACATCAGGTAAGAAGATGATATGTGCTGATAGAGGTCACGGACGGACGGACGGACGGACGGACATGACTAGCACAATAGCGCCTTTTTTCCATAAATGAGAAAATGCTCTAAAAATTCATGGATATAACAGGTCAGCAGCAGAGTGTCCACTGAGAAGGCACCTCGATGAGCTCCTGAGCTTCCGGTGTCCGGCGCTGCCGCCGGAAATCGAGCTCAAGAAGTGGAAATTGAGTTTGAAAAAAGGAAATTGAAATCAAAAGATGCCGGGGGGCTCTTGAATGGTCGGATAAAGGCCAGTCAATATACGAACATCTCTTAAATGTTTTTAAGTGAATAATTCATAGATGACAGTTGAGGTCAAGTCAAAAGTTAGAGGAATTTAATGAAGGTTTCGTCACACTTTCTTGCCGTAAAATTATACTGCATTCATGGCTTAAAATTGAGACCGTTTTTCTCCGCTCATAACTATAGCTTTCTCGTGTCAGGCGGAAGTCATACTAAGAAAACCCAATGTGTCACATTGTCTAAATCCTGGCGCGTCCTCTTTCCCACAGTACGAGCAGAGAGCGCTGGTCTCATGGCCTCACCCTCCTGCCCCCGATGACCTCACCCTCCTGCCCCCGATGGCCTCACCCTCCTGCCCCCGATGGCCTCACCCTCCTGCCCCCGATGGCCTCACCCTCCTGCCACCGATGGCTTCACCATCCTGCCCCCGATGGCCTCACCCTCCTGCCCCCGATGGCCTCACCCTCTTGCTCCCGTTGGCCTCACCCTCTTGCCGCCGATGGCCTCACCCTCCTGCCTCCGATGACCTCACCCTCTTGCCCCCGATGGCCTCACCCTCTTGCCCCCGATGGCCTCACCCTCCTGCCCTGCCCCGATGGCCTCACCCTCTTGCCGCCGATGGCCCTGATGAGGTTGGCCGTGAGCTGGAGGACCTCAGGCGCCCCCATCATCAGGCCGACGCGCCCCATAGTCTTCAGGGTGTAGTCCTGTAGCTGCTGCTCTATATCCGTTAGCCTGCGGGGCAGCGATAGATATAGTAATACAATATATTATAATAGTAGTTATAGCAATATCCATGTTCTTCAGGGTGTAGTCCGTCAGCTGCTGCTCTACATCAGTCAACCTGCGGGGCAGCAATATAGTAATACAATATATTATAACAATAGTTATAGCAATATCCATGTTCTTCAGGGTTCAGGGCTCTATCTCAGTCAGCCTGCGGTACAGCGATAGATCTCCCTTATTATTAATAGGGAAGCGACAATAGTTTCCTTCAATATCTTTTTTAAATTTTAATCATGAATACGGCATTGAATTTTATTAGGGCAGCGATAGAACTCCGTTATTACTAGTATAGGGAAGCGACAATAGTTTCTTTCAAAATATTTTTTTAATTTAGATAATGAATACGGAATTTATTTTTTTATAACACGTGTTTTTTCACTACAGACTTATTTGAATATTTCAGGACTGGAAAAAACCTTAAAATTCCTAGATTTATAAGACTTTTTGATCTTATTTACTTGCTTGACCTGAGTGTTCAGCGATGTATTTGGTGGTTGAGGCCATCATGACTCACCTAAGCGAGTGTTCAGCGATGTATTTGGTGGTTGAGGCCATCATGACTCACCTGAGCGAGTGTTCAGCGATGTATTTGGTGGTTGAGGCCATCATGACTCACCTGAGCGAGTGTTCAGCGATGTATTTGGTGGTTGAGGCCATCATGACTCACCTGAGCGAGTGTTCAGCGATGTATTTGGTGGTTGAGGCCATCATGACTCACCTGAGCGAGTGTTCAGCGATGTATTTGGTGGTTGAGGCCATCATGACTCACCTGAGCGAGTGTTCAGCGATGTATTTGGTGGTTGAGGCCATCATGACTCACCTGAGCGAGTGTTCAGCGATGTATTTGGTGGTTGAGGCCATCATGACTCACCTGAGCGAGTGTTCAGCGATGTATTTGGTGGTTGAGGCCATCATGACTCACCTGAGCGAGTGTTCAGCGATGTATTTGGTGGTTGAGGCCATCATGACTCACCTGAGCGAGTGTTCAGCGATGTATTTGGTGGTTGAGGCCATCATGACTCACCTGAGCGAGTGTTCAGCGATGTATTTGGTGGTTGAGGCCATCATGACTCACCTGAGCGAGTGTTCAGCGATGTATTTGGTGGTTGAGGCCATCATGACTCACCTGAGCGAGTGTTCAGCGATGTATTTGGTGGTTGAGGCCATCATGACTCACCTGAGCGAGTGTTCAGCGATGTATTTGGTGGTTGAGGCCATCATGACTCACCTGAGCGAGTGTTCAGCGATGTATTTGGTGGTTGAGGCCATCATGACTCACCTGAGCGAGTGTTCAGCGATGTATTTGGTGGTTGAGGCCATCATGACTCACCTGAGCGAGTGTTCAGCGATGTATTNGCGCCGTACACCTCCTATGTATGGACTAACTACACGGTATGTGTCGTGGCACACGGTTCACAGCGCCGTACACCTCCTATGTATGGACTAACTACACGGTATGTGTCGTGGCACACGGTTCACAGCGCCGTACACCTCCTATGTATGGACTAACTACACGGTATGTGTCGTGGCACACGGTTCACAGGGCCATACACCTCCTATGTATGGACTAACTACACGGTATGTGCCGTGGCACACGGTTCACAGTGCCGTACACCTCTTATGTATGGACTAACTACACGGTATGTGTCGTGGCACACGGTTCACAGCGCCGTACACCTCCTACAAGCTATAGAGGGTGACTGACTGGCGCCAGTAAATGCGGAGCTATACAATAGAGGGCGGATGTTCAATAGCGGGCGGATGTTCAATCGAGGCTTGCAGCCTGTACGTGCATCTCTGCCCTGTACACGTCTACAGACACGCACACAGGTCACAAGAAATTTCTGTCCACACAGCGAAAGAGGCCAAAAATGGTAAAATGTTCGAGTTTGTTTTAGTGTCAAAGTTTACCGATCGATGTCCTGACCTACGATAAAAATTGCCAAAGTTAAGTCTAAAATCTTTATTCATTTGCTGGTCCATTTATTCATTTTTATTGCATACAGCCTGGCCACTTCTAAGGCTGCACACTGCAACGGCCCTTGTGCAATGTCATGCATACCTGCGTGACTATTGACTGCGGCATTTCCCTTGCACAATGTCATCTCTCTTGGCCTATCGCTAGCTTCAAGGTCGTGCGAACTATTAATCTTGCCGACTATCACCGTATCCAGCGATTTTTTCGTTGTCATCTAAACCTTACACAACGCAATATTCACGAATCGCGTTATCGATATTTTATCCGTAATTCCAGCAATTAATTTCAGCTCTTTGGCCAACCAGGATCGCGAAAGGCTAAATACGCGTTCATTTTTTATGAACTCGCACTAAGATTGCACTTAGATGACATTTTGATTTGCGCCATTAACCGTAACAAATAAATGACATCTCGGACCCATTCATTCGTCTACAGAGACAATTTCGAAGGATTACAATTTCGATTTTCAGATATTATGTCTTGTTAGCGATATGTCCTTTCAGTGCACAGAGGCTTAAACTTCTTTGGGACAATAGACGATCAAAATTAAAACTTATTGCGCGAAGAACTTTCTCAAATAGGCAATGGATTACAAGCATCCTTAGTTACCTCGTCATAGGAAAATGAATACACGCAATGCGTGCACGAACAGTTTACGAAGTTCGCTGCACGCCGTGCACTGAGGAGACTAAAAAGTTTAGGGCTGGGGTAAGTACACTTGCAATGATAAGATACGAAACCATAATAATCTCTCACGGCAATTCACGGCAATACGACACAAGACCTGATAACCTCTTGCTACAACACATAGTCGGTCCTTCACTGCAATGTTCGACAACCATGCCATAATTTAATTTAGAATGTCTACCGGACCGATCACGTCCATCGGAACGAGCGATTCATACAGAGATTGAGCATTCGGTGAGAGTCCTACGAACCTTGCTAAATCGGGGTGGCATTCACAGCATCACAATCCTGGCAACGTAACCCGAAATCTGTGAGCTACTGAACTGTACAAGCCAAGTTTGAATGTCGCCCAATTAAACTAACGTCAGGTGAAAATCTTCGTTCGTGTTATATACAGTACCATTATTCAAGTGTTCCGAATAACGCGCAGCATCTCTACTTCCTGCTCAATCGGATTCGTGCAATCCACGTTGTCTCCAGCTTACATCCGTGGTCATTACCAACTTCCCATTAGCCAGCGGTGTCCCATCACCCTATTTACACCTAGTGCTGACGAATTCGAAGTATGCCACACATTTACAGACATAAGTTTGTACAGATATTTCCAAAACCACATCTAACCAGCCAGCACACTGACTCAAACCTCTTAAGTTCACAGTTCGTTTTGGCATGCAACCCAAATTATGCGTGCGGCAATTTTCTTTACGACACAATGTAATCTGCGAGTATGGCAATAAGAGGCTTTGCTAAGCTCCGCAGCAAGAATGATATATTCATTCCTATACATGAGCAATTCTTAACATCTTATGCCTCATATCAATTTTATGGTGCAAATATAAGAACTAATCGAGAAGTCTGCTAACTATTCTAACTATCAAATTGCAACTGTCGAGGCCTCTAAACAGGTTTTCATCAGGCAAAGAAAAAAACGGAGGTCATTTATTAAAATAGTTTATTGAATGCAAGGGGGCTAAAACATTAACGCTGTTCAAGAACATTTGCCTATAACGGCATGGCTTTATCGTCGGCCTCTTCACTTGGCGAGGGACTGATCTTGCCCTCCGACGGCGCTGCATCGCTGAGCGACGAAGGCGTGTCCACATCACGGCACGACTCGGCCAAAGGAGACTGTGTTCGGGAGGTTGATGAAGATCCTGCAGTTGCCGATCCAGCAGCTGAAGATGCACATCTACTTCCAGATGGTGAACCGGCAGGTTCGGGAACGGGAGAAGGGGCTGCCGCTACAGCTATATCTGGATTCACGACTTCCGGTTGATTCAAGTCGCGGGGTTCTTCACGGGGCTCTTCACGTGGCTCTTCCCGGGGTGTGGCACCTGCGGGTGCGGCACCTGCGGGTGCGGCACCTGCGGGTGCGGCGGGTCGAGCAGCATTCATTTCCTCTTGCTGCCTTAGGCGTTCCATATTTTCACGATGCTGTTGGAGTAAATGCCTGCGCAACTCACCAGGTTCAAGTGGGCTTAACTCTTCCTGTACCTCCATCTCTTCGCCTTCTTTCCCCTCTTCCTTCTCTGCGTAGTGTCCGTCATCTACGCTTTTAGCTCCACTCTTCTTTCTCCTTCTGTCTTTATCGTCATCGTCGTCATCGTCTTTCTCCCCAGCTCCTCCCGAAGGGGGCGAGCCAGCTGGGGCCTGTTCAGAGGCTTTTTCAGTCCTTTTGCTCTGCCGCCTGGGAGCTCCTCCTGAGCTAGACTCGTCGTCTGCGTCAGTTACCTCATCTTGCCCAACAGATCCATCTCCTTTGAACTTCGTACAAACTCCAGGAAGTCCAGCATATGTACTTTCCACGTACAAGATAGTCTTGGTATTCTGACCACATTCCAGGACCATCGCTGGATTAGGTTGTGCATGAAGTGGTTCAACTGGGCAATCCCGGATTGCGATATTCTCGCCGATGGAAGTCAGAAATTCCAAATAGTCCAAATGCACGAGGCTCGCTTCCAAGAAGGTGTCTACAGTTCGTTGTGAAGGTATGCCGTTAAACAAGTAATCTTCCAACTTCCCGTCTTCTAGCCGGCATTTCTCATCAGATAGTTTTCCTTGGGTCAGTTGCTTAGTTACACAAACCCTGCAAAAACACCGAGTCAATATAGGCATTACACACAAGAGGCGCGCGTATTTAGGCTGTCTGTCTACCCGGCTAACCTTGTTGCCCAGTGAGATGCTCAAGCTTCTTACCCGATGTGATTATGGATTCATCAAACTTACCCCCTAAAGTATAGCCAGTTAACCATTTTTCACCAAGGCTGGCTGAAGTTCGTTTGCACGGGAAGGCTGCACAACAAATTCTAAACATTTATGTAGAAGTTTTTGCAGGTTCCTACTACTGTAAGTACCAGCCGTTGATAGACCTGCACCATAAATCTAAGTAGAAAATGCCACCCAGATGCCACCGAAAATTCTTAGATGCCACCGAGTCAGACCGAGACAGTTTCGATCATACAACTGCTACACAATTTAGCAAGACCTGCTACTTCTTTCTAAGAAAGATAACCAAATACGACTGCCACCTCAAATCATAATTTTTCAAAATTGACGTTACTCGCATTTGCTCTTACGTGTATATAGGAATCTTCACTACTCTTCTGCAAATTATCAATTCACGACCAGCACGTAAAGAAGGGTTCAAGACATGGTCATATTGTAAGCATGCTAGCCAAACATTGACGTCCATATTTTATGTCAATTTTCAAATCTGAATAAAAACTGGATAATATTTCCAAAACTTACGATATTATTCGAAGCTTTGCTTCGTCGAAGGCCATAAGATTGAAGTTATGAGCGTAATACCGTAAGGAACTTCTATCTGAAGTTTCATTACAAATATTATAGCAGGTAGTGAAGAACAGTCATTTGACCAGAATATAACCTATAGTTTAAGTCTCATATCACGACACGTAATCTGCCATTAGTTCGCCTAACTAGAAGTGAATAGATGGCCCCCATAAGCTAACACCCGTCATTATCGCCAACCAAATCAACACTTACATGTTTACACCGGAAGACTGTAGTGATGAGGACACTTGAGGCGACTGTAGAGGTGATGAGGAACGATTACGTCGACAGAAGACAATCTGTCCAACAGACATCGATGCTTTCTAACTTGAGTGTCGAGAGTTTTCTAAGAAATGCGGAATTTCTTAACACACGCAACACCCTTGAAGTTGAACAAAATGTTGAACACTGAAGCTGTAATTGTATGCAACTTCCAAATTTTATTATAATTCAATTACTATATATAGTTTTAGAACGTTTAGTATTTAATTACTTACTGCAGTGGTTAACGTTAACGTAACTAACAGCCTTCGTCTGATTAATGTCTGACTGAAGACAAATTTGATAATTACTAATAATTTATAAATGGCACCAGCAAGCAAATACGAGTTGAGATACTGATAAATAATTAACAGATAAGATAGCGATGAATTGTTACCAGCAACAGAGATGCTAATCGGCAAATTACTTTACATGTCATCCCGCTAATTATATGACACGAAGGCTATCGATGATTAGTTTTCCTTGATGGTACTGATATCTTAAATGATAAGGTTCTCCTTGATGTTACTGACAACTTAAATGCTAAGGTTCTCCTTGATGTTACTGACAACTTAAATGATAAGGTTCTCCTTGATGTTACTGACAACTTAAATGCTAAGGTTCTCCTTGATGTTACTGACAACTTAAATGCTAAGGTTTTCCTTGATGATACTGACATCTAAAATAATAAGGTTTTCCTTGATGGTACTGACATCTTGAATGATAAGTTTTCCTTGATGATACTGACATCTTGAATGATAAGTTTTCCTTGATGGTACTGATATCTAAAATGATTAAATTCGCCTTGATGGTACTGACATCTTAAGTCAACATCAACTGACGGAACTCATTTTTTATTCCGTTTAGAGTCCCGACTTCGAATTCTGCGAGTAACGAGTAGTAAGTATTGCTGATGGTACCGGTGATCAAGTCAACGCTGCGTGTATTAGCGATCAATTATTCCCACTGTAGTCGCAAATGAGGAGCGACGCTGTCATTTCCATTTCCTCAAGCAATTGAAGTAATTTTTTTAACAGTTCATCAACTCGGATTTTAAAATTTCTCTATCACTGCCGATAAGATTGTAAATGAACAGATGGATAAGAGATATATTAATTCAGTTCGTGAATCATTCAAAGACATCAAAATTGTGAACGACAGCTTCCGTAAAAAAATCTAATTTAAGAATTACTCGATTCTATTTTCAAATATTGTTTACTTCTTTTGATTTTCGCTAAGATATGATGATATGATTTACTAGCGTGTGCAGAGCTTTGCATGGTACCTCGAGCTGCAAATGATCGTAAAATTTGAAATATTTTCATCGATTATCCGACAATTAACTGGTTAGGTTATTAGGTTCTATAGCGGAGTTCTGGACGACACCGCCCATGGTCCCGCCGGTGCATGGGATGAAACAGCCTGGGGGTGGCCCAGCGGTTAAAGTTCAGAGTACCAAGAATGGAGCGGGGAGTGCGGTTCGATTCCAGCTCTAGCTGTGCGCCAGGTTCTGGTCAGAATCGGCAAGGAGGCCTGGCGGTTATAAGCAAAGAAATTTTGAAGCAGTGAGTTGCGAGTTCAAGCCATGCTGTGGGATGCTATAGATATTCTGCAATATTAAGAATCGGCGACGGGCCTACGGCCTAATAAACGCTAGAACCGCTATATTAAGTAGTGGATAATATCGCCACTGCTTACTAATGGCAGCAGGGCAGAGATCATGGACTGTGCTCAGAGACACGTCTAGTCGTCTCTGGATGTGTGGTTAGCTGACCAATATGTAGGACGCCAGGCATGAATCGGCTTACGATATGATGATTGAAGCTCTTCCTCTTTCAGCGACTCCATTGACACAGCGCTGATCGTTCTGTGCCACCACAACTAGAGATCCCAACAAGGTTCAAAGGGATATTCTCGAGTGCCTGTCACTCGTTTCAAGCTTATGGGTCACACATTCGTAAGTCTCATCATCAAATTTTTGTTCCAGGCCCGTTATCTTCCCGTGTGCAATATTGTATATACCTTTCTTTTCTCTTCCATGGAGGCATCTTTCGTGACTGCGCTTCTGCCGGTAGTCTCCCGCATCCCGCATCTCCCGCATCCCGATGATAATCAACACGGCGATTCACTAGACCGCCTCGATCATACGGTCGCAGTGCACCCACCTCAACCAAGCCCACATGCATAGTGCTCAGCAATACGCCAGACGAAGGTTGCTCAAGAGGACAATCACATAAGATATATTTACAGCTTCTCTTGCATGAATCAAGAGGGCAATCGCATATATGATATATTTACCGCATCTCTTGCATAAATCAGCAGGTATATCCATGCCTTTTGCAACCTCTTAAGTTATCATCAAACGTAGCCTTATCAACTTTGGCTCTAAAAACCGAAAACTTGTGCCGTCTAAAGACGAGCTATTTTGTAGTGTTTTTTGTCAGCGTCTTTACAACGTATTGCAGTTCAGCCCATGAGTAATATTCAAGAGACTCGTGCTGTCCGTCGATGAAAATGCAGTAGCGAACAATAATTATTGAGTTACTCCCGCAAATTATTTTCTACGTACGTTGGTACAATAATTACGCTCATAACTTAGCTCAGTCACCCTCCAACTCTTTATTCTTCACGTTATTCCATTTATTGAACATGCTAATTACCGATTGTATATCTATCGTTTCAAAAAGGCTACTCGTCAACATTTTCTTTATATCAACACTAACTTAATTTATTTGGTATATGATCAATAGATTCTAATTCGAATTTTTCAGAACGCTCACCATTCAATGATCACTACAAGTTACCTGTCGGGCCGATTCAACTAATTTGCGCAGTTAAAAGATAACAATTTCCTCCAAACATCCGAACTCAAGTTAGGCGCGAACTTTAAAAACTTTCGGACGCATCAGATTCCGTGCACAGCTCACGATCGAGAGGTCAGCTTCATCACACCAGGACACCAAATATGTTTCTCAGAGACGCCTTATTGTACGCACACAGTGAAAGCAGGTTGCCAGCGTGCTGGTTACCTGCTCAGGCTGGCGTCTGAAACCATAGAATACAGAAGCCTATTCGTACAGGTTTTCACTGTGAACACTTACATTATTATCCTATGTTCATTCTTGTGGCAGGTTGAAACCATAGCATACAGAAGCCTATTCGTACAGGTTTTCACTGTGAACACTTACATTATTATCCTATGTTCATTCTTGTGGCAGGTTGGAGCAGGTTGCCCGCGCGGGCAAACCTGCTTCCACTGTGAGCGTACCCTTAGAATGGAATGAAACTCATGCGTCCATGTAAGCATTTTCTATCATAGCAAATTAACAAGAAAAAGATCAGTCAGCAATCGCGTAAAAATGTTAAATAATTTTCACCAGTCCATGAATTAAATGCGATAAAATTTCTCAGACATTTGAAATTAACAATCCTTACGATAACAATTTGGCAAGTCTATTAAATAATCTCTTAACGCAACAAAAGAGAAGTTCGATATCTGCCCAAATTTGACAACATTCTCAGAAGAAATTGCACGCGTAAGTTGAAACTCGCGATGCGGCAAATCCATCGAGATTAAGTCTGCGCTGGGACGCTGATACAAGTAAATGAAATTACGCTATTCGAGTCTACTTTAAGCACACAAATTAAATGTTGATTGGTCTGGTATTTTCAAACATCGTCGCTGTCAAGATAACAAATTTGACCGAAATAGAAATTAAAATTAATTACAAATTACCAGGCTAAGCTTAACCGGCGGACAAAAGGCTTGCTAGGCAGTTAACATCTGAACAAATTCTGTTTGTGGGAATGGTCATCTTACTATGTATGCCTATTGGCAATATTATATCGATATTTTAATGGATGCGCAGCCACAGCTGCACACGCAGTGTGGGAACACAGCAACCCGACGTCAAAACTGCGTCATTTGAGTAAAACTTTTAACAAAGATTTTCCCTGGACGCTGGACGCTAGGAACTCCCAAGCCAAATTTTCGGCAAGACCTAACAAAAACGTTGCATTGGCGCTAGAAGGGAACTTCGCTCTTAGGAAGGAAACTAGCGCTCGAAGGTAACTTTCCTCCCAGGAAGGGAACTATATAGCGCTCGAAGGGAACTTCCCTCCTAAGAAGGGAACTATATAGCGCTCGAAGGGAACTTCCCTCCTAAAAAGGGAACTATATAGCGCTCGAAGGGAACTTCCCTCCTAAGAAGGGAACTATATAGCGCTCGAAGGGAACTATATAGCGCTCGAAGGGAACTTTCCTTCTAAGAATGGAACTAGCGCTCGAAGGGAACTTCCCTCCTAAGAAGGGAACTAGCGCTCTAGTGTGGGGATAATTGCCATTCAAGTAGCGTCGCCAGAGTTGCATTAGGGTGACGGACTTCAGTTAATAAACATTCACCATTTGACGGGCGCGATTTCAATTTCACCTCAACTGAGAACAAAGAAATACTATCAATTGAACCGTGGAAGGCATCAACCTCGCCTGCTCCTCAGTCTTTGTCCTGTTTTTCTTCTCGATCTGAAGTCTCTATAGTTTGCCCCCCACCACGTAATTTGGGAAACGGATCTGTGGGATAGAAGTTTCATTCTGCGTTAGGACTTCATTTAATATATGTAACTTTACTGCTTTAAATTGCGAAAACTATGATTAAAGCGCTTAGAATGAAGGTCCTGGGTATACGCATGCAGCATCAATTTATCAGAGGAGGGCGGATGAAGGTTTTTAAGCAATAAAAACGATGAAGGTTTCAACGCAAGGCAGGTTAACAAATGACAATCATTGATGCAGAAACGCGATCAAAAAGGTGCTGGTATGATAACTTAAATTGCACTGCCATACAAAAAACTTAATATAAGCGTATATTAATATATTAATAATAAATTCCATAATTCTAAGTTATAATGGTTTATGAAAAAATATCTAAACATTCAATCTTAGTACCGGTATTGAACAACAAAATTTCTTACCTAGTGATTCCCAGAAAGACAAGCGCTGAAGTGGCGATAGGTTCTTCAGACGATTTAATTTTCAAGCCCCCGATGCTCGCAGGTATTGGGCATTAGGTTCTAGGTTCTTCAGACAGTCTAACTTCAAGCCCCCGATGCTCGCAGGCATTGGGTGTTAGGTTCTAGGTTCTTCAGACAGTCTAACTTCAGGCCCCCGATGCTCGCAGGTATTGGGTGTTCATCCAACTGGTCCTCCATCAAAGTCACAAGTAAACCTCATCCAATGTTGTTTAGATTCCCACACAGAAATGTACGCGCCTCCATAGCGTCAAGAACCCAGCTCTTCCTCTGACCCTAAATGACGTTGATGCGAAACAGACATTTAGTGGCTCCCGTCAGTCACGTCGACACTCCCGTCAGTCACGTCGACACTCCCGTCAGTCACGTCGACACTCCCGTCAGTCACGTCGACACTCCCGTCAGTCACGTGGATACTTCCGCCACTCACGTCTAAACTTCCGCCACTCACGTCGATACTCCCTCCATCCAAGTCGATAGGAATAGTCCAGCGGCCGAACCTACGTAATTCGATACTGCCTCCGTTAAAGTCAATACTGCCTCCTTTCAAGTCGAGACTCCCTCCGTTTAAGTTGAATATCCCTCCGTTCAAGTCGAAACTCTGTCCCTTGAAGTCGAGACTACCTCCCTTCAAGTCGAGACTTCCCCTGTTCAAGTCGAAACTTCCTCCTTCCAAGTAATCACTCAATCCGCTTCTGTCGATGCACCCTCTTTTCAAGTTGATACTCCCTCCTTTCAAGTTGATGCTCCCTCCGTTCAAGTCTATACCATCACCATTCAGGTCGATTTTCCCTCCGTTCAGGTTAATATTCCCTCCGTTCAAGGCGATACTTCCTTCGGTCAAGTCGAAAAACCCTCCATGCAAGTCGAAAATTAATCCGAATAAGCCGATACTCCCTCCTTTTAAATCAATTCTCCCTCCTTTCAAATCTATATTGCCTCCGATTAAGTCGAAAATTTCACCGTTCACGTCGACATCAGTTACATTTACGTCGATATTTCCCCGCTCCGCGTCGAAATTTCCACAAACCACATCGACATATCCCCAATCCGAATCATTTCCCCAATCCGAATCATTTCCCCAATCCGAATCATTTCCCCAATCCGAATCATTTCCCCAATCCGAATCATTTCCCCAATCCTCGTCGACATTTCCCCAATCCTCGTCGACATTTCCCCAATCCTCGTCGACATTTCCCCAATCCTCGTCAACATTTCCCCGTTTCACGTCGATATTCCCCCGTTCCACGTAAATACTTTCATTGATCCTATCTAGATTTCCTTGATTTTCCTGTACTGCCAGCAGCCGCCTGGCCCCCACCCTCATGTCATGATGAGCAAACTGCGGGTGCACCACAACAGCCGTGGAGACCTCAGTTCTGCTGAGCGTGCCAGGGTCAGGATTAGGTTCTGCGGGCGCACGGCCGACCGCGTAGTCGCCCTCCTGGGCGAACTGCAGGCACAGGCGGCGTAGAGGTGTGGGGAGGGATGAGGCGAGCAGACATAAAACTGTCATGTACCTGAAGAACAACATCTCTAGCTATCTTCACTTTGCGTCGACTTGTAAAACCACTAAAAATTCTCTAGATTAAGTTTAAAATCTGTTGAGAGCGGGAAGAAATCATACCCAGCTATTATTATTGAGGTAAGTAAAAATTTGTACATAGACATTTCGAGGTCTCAAATTTCTAACGACGGAATTTTAAAGGATTTTGCATAGCTTATCGCGGTTCATAGTTAGAAACTAAGTTGCCAAATACGTTCCTATGGACAAGACGTAGAAGATGCATTTGACGTACAACAAAAGCTGGCTAATCAAAATGGTGAGTGGTCTTTGGAGAGCATGAACTGGAGATACCACTGCATTTTTAATTGCGAAGAATATCAAGATTAGGTTAGATGAATTTATGTTCTAATAACTAAAGTTGAATCCCCACTCGCCTTCGGGTCGAATGGGCACGCATAAAAATTTCAAGCATATTTTAGTGTATGTGAGCAGAAATGGTGTGTTACAAGAAAAAATTACCTATTTTCAGGTCACGATTGACACCAAGTGTACATTACCTCTACTTCCGAGACTTTTAAACACAAGACGATTTTATTTTACTGCTAAATGTCTTCATACACTCGGCCAAGAACATGACGAATCAAGATGGCGTTTCAACGAACACACGACTTAGTTGGAGAGCTAAAGTTAAAAGAAATATAAATTTACACGCCTTAGTTAGCTATGGAGATGACATTAGGAGAAATACAAAATTTTAGAGCGGCAATTGCTGGGGCACATTAGCCGTATATTTGAGAACAAAGTCAACGTTACGAAGTTACGTACTGAGTGAACATAAGTATTACAGAAGATGATGGAATAACCGGTAAAGTTGCAGTAGTGACAAGCTTAGCCGAGGCGTAAAAGAAGAGTCCAGCAAGGCTAGAAAATTCAGCTTCTTCCCGAAAATAAGTATTCAAGGTAATTCATAGTGCGTGGCCACAAGCCCAACTGCAAAATTCATTCAAAAGCTCCTTGGAACTGACTGGCATGCAAACAATATTGGAACATCCAGCCAATTCTTGAATTTACTACAGTCTACTTGTAAAGTAAGTAACTTTTAAGCTATAGTAAATATGTGTAGAGTAATTAATATGATGAAATGAACTACATTTATAATCAAGAGATAATACATAATGAGAACAGGAATACAGTTTGACGACTAGATAGAGCGGGACGCACAACATTCGCAGTCAATATGGCCTTCACAACAAGCGAGCTCACGGATCGTGGTGAATCCAGCGTTAAAGATGGCGCCAATAATCAAGTAAGAAGCTCACGGATCGTGGTGAGTCCTGCGTTAAAGATGGCGCCAATAATCAAAGTGCATCTACGTACGTTGGAATGACGTCGCGTAACTTCTACATCCGGGTTTCTGAACACCGTGGCAGGAGCTATCGTTCTAACTTGCCTCTCTCCAAACCTCCTCATTCTTCCGTGCGCCTCCATGCGGCATGCTGAACAGTGCAACGTGGCCGTAACTGAGAGTGATTTCAGGATACTCGGTTCCACATCTGGCTGCTCGGATTTGAGGATATTGGAGTCTCTACAAATCTTCAAACGAAAACCGTGTCTAAATAATTCGTTTAGTTCATATAATCTGGAAACAGTGAATCGCTAGGCTTTTATATTCTTTTCGTGAACTCTAGGATTAAATTGTTCCAATCGACTCCTGTTTTTTTCGATATAATGCTATGTCTTGTTTAGGTTTTATGTCTGTCTTAGAATTTTGATATAATATTATGATTTTATTCATTTTTAGTTTGTCGAACTGATGATGGAACTGGACTCCGAAACGTTTTCAATATAGATATGGTGCATTTGCTTGATGTTTTCTTTGCTTTTAAATTCCTTGTGAACTTGCGATGTAAGCAGACTGATAAAATAAGTCTACCTCATATCTCAGGTAGGCAAAATCACCACAATAGTCTACCTGATATGCCAGGTAGACAATATCACCATAATAGTCTACCTCATACGCCAAGTAGACAATATCACCACAACAGTCTACCTCATATGCCAGATGGACAACATCACCACAATAGTCTACCTGATATGCCAGGTAGACAATATCACCACAATAGTCTACCTCATATGCCAGGTAGACAATATCACCACAACAGTCTACCTCATATGCCAGGTAGACAACATCACCACAATAGTCTACCTGATATGCCAGGTAGACAATATCACCACAATAGTCTACCTGATATGCCAGGTAGACAATATCACCACAATAGTCTACCTGATATGCCAGGTAGATGAAGCTCAGCGCAGCACAGAGGCCCAGGACTGTGATGTTGCTGGCCAAGTCGAACACGCGGCTGCCAAGGAGCAAAGTCGAACATTGAAATTTTCTGGTCAGGAGTTGAATTTTGTCAAAAATTACCTAACCCGCCGAGTTAAAAACAAAAAAAAATTCAAAAGGAAAACGCTGATCTACGAAATAAATTTCAAAACGCGCCTTGTTAAAGTCTAAAGTGCGTTATGAAGATGATAATAATACTTAATTGAGTTCTCATAGATTAAAGTTTGGAATTCTTAAATTTTTTGATAAGTTAGTCTTATTCGAATACAAGTGAAAAGGGTTTAATCATATCGGTTTAACGTTTATAAAAGAAAAATGGTTTAATCATAATCATAACGAAGAAAAGTTGAGAACATTACCTGAAGAACTCGTTGTGGCACACGTAGTACGCGGTGGTAATGAAGACGTTCGGCTGGCCGCGGAAAGGAGTACATCCATACGATGACTCGACTGTGTTCACCATCAGCAACATCGCAACGAGTGCAAGAAAGAACGAAAATGCCTGACTCCACACGAACATGTACCTGGTGATATCGACCGTCATCATGTTCGGGGTAATCCTGCAGAACAGTGCGACACGCACCAAGAACAACGCCCAGTACAACATGAGTACCGCCACGGTCAGCAGGGGGAACAGGGGCATGATTGTTGTACCAACCCATGACAGAGTTTGGACCCCGAGTAGCATTAAGCCAGCACCTGGAACGTCAAGCCTTCGTTGCATCCTTTTCCTGACTTTCTTCCAAGGTGACAGCCGCAAAGGAAGGAGCACCACAATCTCAAAAACAAAAACAAGGATCCACATCATCGGCTGGAACATCATGGATGCGTAGATCTGCTGAGCAAACTCTGCCTCCCAGCAGAAGTGATTGGTAGGACACAAGTTACGAGACGGGTTGATGATTTGAGTGTAGAATAATACACCGATAGATGAGAACTGTAGCGTGGCAAGACGTATCGTTAGAATTCGAAGAGATATCATTTCAGAATGTTTTTCCAATTTTCCTATTGCCTCGATGATTGGCGGAAATATTTGGTTGATAAAGTAGAGGCATCCTGAAACCAAAAACTGCAGTAAATGCGAATACACACTAAGTTGGTTCCAGTCAATGTCACCACCATCTCCAGGATCCGTTGAGTTACCCGAAGAAACATTTGGATTTGATGAAATATTTAATGAAGTCGAATTGGTATTTTGCAACTTGAAGCGCTGTTGTAGTCTAGCGGTGGTGTAGACAATCCCCTAAGCTGTACCTATTACCACCCACACCATAATGTTACAAATTAATCGAACATAAAACAAACGAACCTTCCCACAACATGTGCGCGTTAGCTTCTCTCTTTTATGCATGATCTTCGCCAGAAAAGTCTTTAATGAGTGACGAACTGACTTCTTCCGAGCCTTTACCGAGATGGGGTCACAAACCGAGAAGTCCCATCCGGTAAACAAGGTCGACGTGACGTCAGCTGACGACTTATCTAAGCTGTATTTCTGCTTCAAATAATGACCAAACTTTGATACCAAATAAACTGCGGTGATAAAGAGATACAAGAAGCTGGTGATCTGAGTGACCATAGCCACGGGGTAGTTGATATCCTCGATGTAAGCAGGATAAACTGACGAGTAGAAGTAAGATGACTCGACGAAGCCAGTGCCCTGGAAGATGTCCAGCAAGGTTGCGTAGGTCCAGTTAGCTCTTTCATAGGCCATTGATTCCATCAAGTTCAGCTGATAGCCCGTGCATTGCAGGATCTGAACGTAGACAGGGGACAATAACATCGTGAGGTGCGTGAAATGACATAAATTATTGGAGGTGAATTATTGAAATGACGCATATTCACTCCATTGGAAAAATGGAGTGAAATTTAGAAAAATATATAGAATGAATTTTAAAAGCTTGGTCTATCGAGGGAAAAAATTTTACTGTCATGTTATTCGTAGAAATTTATCTCTCTGCTAGTGTACGTCACTCCCCATAAGTTGCCAAATCCAAATAAATCTATGCTTCAGCTTTCCATTGCAACAAACAACACAAAGTCGCCCGCAAGGAACATTGCAATGCCATCAAAGCGTATTTGTCAGCCAATTGTTGGTCGGCCAATCATTCGCGTTGGTCGGCCAATCATTAGTGTTGGTCGACCAATCATTCGCGTTGGTCGGCCAATCATTCGCGTTGGTCGGCCAATCATTCGTGTGCAATTAGGAAGCAATGGTCAGCAACTAAGGAGAGACGGACAGTAATTGAGGTCTTATAAACGTAAGTGAAAAGAACGATGGACACTAATTGTTCATGCACCACTCTGAGAAATGTATGGGTGATAGTGTCCAAATTTTGACACACTGCCTGCACGTAGCACTGATACGCCCGTTTGCCCGGTCAAACTGAGTCAGTATGACTCACATAAAGGCCAACCCCGCATCGCTATTTAGACTAAGTCTATGAGTCCAAGAGATACATTTAACATGGACCGTCGTGAGCCAGACACCTGCTCGTCGTTGTCGCTGAGCAGGATGCCATCGCAGGATCCATCGGCTGCGATCCTGACACGTGTTGACATGTTCCCAACCACCGACCAGCCGTAGGACTGGTCGTGTACCGAGCTGAAGGTGATGGTAGGACAGACGAGTACCACCATAATCACCATGGCCGCCATCACGTTCATCAGGAGGAGGTCTTTGTACAGACCAAGCAACAGACTACCACTCCAGCCCAGTCTCGACAGCATGTGGTGGCGCAGTTGACGCTTCAGCTGCACCAGCATATCAAGGTTTTATAAA